GGGGCCTGAGAGCATCCCCCTCCCCCCCGGCAGCCTCTGAGGTTCCTTGCTGGCTTTGTCCTCAGTGTTCCTGTTTGCATTTTGCTGAATTGACCTCCCTGGGATGTGGGAGGGCCAGGTGATGCCACCACAGAGCAGCATCCTGTGGGGAATCCTCAGTGGGAGCCCGAAACCGCGCACCATGGAGAAGAGGATGGCGCGGTGGAGCAGGAGCCGGCTCACGGTGTTTGATGAAGCAGTGTGTGTTCGCACGTCAGAGCGTCTCTACCCTGTCAGCGGTGGTGTGGTCCCTGGGGCAGCAACCCGAGTGTTGGCTGCACCTCACGTGTTGGCTTTCCCAAAGGAGACCTGCTGTTTGGTGCACCTGCTTACCACACAGAGCAGGTGGCAGCCATATGGGCGTCTTCTCCTGCTGGCGATCCCCAGCCTCCCCTCTCCTTACCTGGGCGTCTGCAGGAATGCTGGCCCAGAGGGGCACAGGGGCCTTCACATCACAGGGCAGATGAAGACAGGGCTCTGCAGCCATCCAAGTCCCCATGCCCGCTGTCCTCGGGCCAGGAAGGTGGGGCTGGTGACCACAGGGGTGCATTAAACACAGAAGAACCGTGAGAAGAATTTGGGGCATTTGAGTGTATGTGCCCAGTGGTGGCCTTTAGGTAAGTCGGCTAGCTCCCTCCGCATTGACCCTCACCACCCTGGGGCAGGCGTGTGGCGTCTGGCTGCTGGAGCCACGCTGGAACCTTTAGGGCTGCACTGGTGCAGGGCCCGCTGCTCTCTCTGGGCTCAGATGCCAATGGATGTGAGAGCAGCTCCTCACAGTCACACTCTGAAATCTGAGGAACTTACGACCTGGATCAAGGAGGTCAAGGGCAGCACCCTCCAGACCCTGCTGTTAACTGTTAAGAGAGGGGAACAGCCTGTCCTCGTGGACCGAAAGGGAGGAGCAGCCATCCCACCAGCATGCCCTGGGCAGCCCATCCCTGCCAGCTGGAGTCCCCAGCTCCCTCAACAGTCGCAGGGCCCAGGCAGGAGGGTCAGGGCTGGCTCCTGATGTGTGACATGGCCAGGGGGACTGGGCGGCTGGTCCCCAGATCCCCCCGCCTAATGCACGAAGCCGTGACCTCACCTGCCTCAGATCTAAGGTTTGGCAAGAGTGAGGGAGAGTTATTTCCCCCAGGCTGTAAATACATTGAATCCAACACTGGGAAAAACAGCCTGGAGCCCCTGTCATTCACCCCCCACCCACTGGGCTCTTCCTGGCATGGTTAGCCAGACCCTGGCATCCCTAAGAGGGCCAGAGGCAGAGAAATGCCCGATGATGCCAGGGGCGGGTGGGCTTCCGACCCAGATGGAAAGTCAGCCTGTGCTGGGGACGTCGCAGCCACGGAGGCACTTCCAGTGATGCATAGAAAGAAAACCAGCACCGATAACGGAAAGCACTTCCTGCAGTGAAAAAGGAGTCAAGCACTTATTTCTTCCCGTTTACTCAGACGATTCACTCATAGGATGGCGCTAAAGGAGTCCCTGTCACCACAAGCAACTCTGTGCTTGTCAGAGTATCAACGAGGATGTTACCCGACATGCCAGGGTCCTGGTGCGCTCGGGAGCTGGAGGTGCTCAGCCTCGGCCACCATGAGTTAAGAAGACAGCCCACCGGGGCCCCGGCCATGTCATGAATGTGGTCTGCAGCCAGGGGCAAAGCAGGGCAGGGATGGGAGGGCCCAGCCATGCCCAGCCCATCCCCCACCAGCCCCAGTGCCAGTGTCACCCTCAGGACCTGAGGTGCTCCACCGTCATCCTGCGTGGCCACTTCCCTGTGTGGGAGCCCCTGTTCACCTCAATCTTTGTTTTGGGTGTGGATGTGGGCTGCTCATGGCCCTTCTTCTGCTGGCCATGTCCCCCCACACACACACGACCTCACCTGGGCACAGTTCGTGGTTGGACAGGGAGGAGAAAGGGGAGCAGTTGGCATCCACCCCGGGAGTTTGTGTAAACCGCTGTCCCTGGTCTCCAGCCTCCCTGTGACTGCGGCTCCTACACGTAGGACCCCCATGCTGGGCATCATGGCTGGGTGGTCCCTGGACACCAAGGAGCCCGAGTCCAGGTGGGAAGTGGCTTCTCCAGGGCTCCCGGCTCCCGAGTCGGGCCAGCCCTCCCCCAGCCTCCCCCTCAGGTGCTGTGCTGTGACCGCAGGGCCACCGTACAAGGGTGTCATCTGCAGGTATGGTGCAGAGCCTTCCCTGACACCCTGGGTGGAGACATTAATACGTATTTGTTCAGGTGCACGTCACCTGACAGAGATGACAGAAGGTTCACACGTTGATTTACAACATCCATTAGACAAGACTACGCTGTGGACTCGTGGCCCTGCTCTCTCATGCATATCCGCGCCGATCCAGCGCTGCATTAAAGTCATGAGTGTCCGGCCCCCCAGAACCGTCATGTGGGCTCGGATCCCAGGGGTGCAACTGAGCAGACGCCCACCCCAATAACGGTGGTGAAGACTGCGGGTGAGGACTGGCAGCGCCTCCACAGCAAGCCCTGGCCACGCATCACACGTGGATGCAGACACAGGCTGCGCAGCCCTCTCTGCAACTCTGTACATGTAAGAACCTGCATGTGTCTGAGTTCATGGACAAGCACGTGGTCACCTGTGCCCAGACCTGCCCCTGCGGCCCCACGTTCCTTCTTTCTAGTGCTTTCAGGTGGGCAGAGTGGGTGGGAAGGGTGAATAGAGAAGAGAAATCACCATTCTCATTACGGACTGTGATGTGGGTCCCAGGACCATGGGAAGTGCCTTTTGGCCACGTGCTGAGTGGAGCCTCCCAGTGGCATTGAGGAGTGTGTATCAAGAGCCCAGCAGGTGAGCTGTTGTCCCCCTGCAGAAGTATCCCAATATGAACAAGACTAGAAGCGAGGATGACGGTCCCAGGAAGGAGACAGGAAGGCCACTAGGGAGGTGCCAATGAAATGCAAAGGCTGGGGCTTCAGGGACCGAGGTGAGGTCCCATGTGCAGGCGTGGGGCACCTCCAGGCCTCCAAATGGTACAGCTCCCAGGTTGCACTGGGCAATGGTCAGTGCAGCCTGTGAGCTCTGGAGCCAATTCCAGGCCTCCAAATCCCAGAACCTGGGGCCTTGGCTCGTGGCCTGGCTCTGGGGACCTCGTGTCCATGTCTGCAGGACATGACCTGCACAGACAGGAAAGGACTGTATTGTAAGTGCAGGTGGTGTCTTGCTCAGGGCTCCCAGCGGGCATAATGAACCACAGCTCCTCTCACCAGAGGACTTTGGGCAAGGGGAGACCAGGGAGACCAGGGCAATGGCATGGTGGGTGGAACAGGACGATGTCCACCGACTGCTGGCTGCTGAGCATTCCAGGAATGCATCTGCACATGGCCTCAGGGAGGTGCAAGTTTCAGCACTGGGCTCAGATCTCAGGTTCTCTGCTGCAGGGTTGAGACTGCCCTTGTGGCCCACGAAAACCTCCCACAGGGGTGACGTGGGTGACTCTCAGGGGTAAGGGCCCCGTCTAAATCCCAAAAGGGCCTGTGCCAGGATGGCCAGCCGTGCATCTGCCCACCTGGGGCAGCCCGGCCTCTCCTGAAGTTGGGAGCTGTCGTTTCATCACTGCTGCTAAGTGCCCACACAAGTTCCCAGTTGTCTCTCATTGTCTCTGGTCTGCAGGCAGGAGCTGTGCTGGGGGCCAGCAGCTGTGAGCCGCCTGCCCTCTGCTGACGTGGCCTGGACCTGGAGCTTCCTCTCCAGACTGCCCTCTCTCAACGCAATTCATCTCCCCAAGCCTCTCGTGCACAGTGGCCGTGTGTTCCAAACTGCATGTGGAAAGCTCTTTTTTTCCCAGGCTTTGGGGTGTCCAAGCCCCTTAGGGCTGCAGCCTTCTGGGCCGTCTGCCTGGGCCCTGGTCTGTGCACAGCTGTGGCCTCCCCTGCAGGCCTGACAGCGCTCTTCCCCATCTACTTCTCCTTGGTCTATTGCCACTCTCAGGCCCCTGACCCTCACCTGCGCTTCCTTTAGTGTCCTGGGTTTCTTCCCCAAGTCCGTGGTGCGTGTCCCAGGGGTCCGCCCCATCTACTTCTCCTTGGTCTATTGCCACTCTCAGGCCCCTGACCCTCAGCTGCGCTTCCTTTAGTGTCCTGGGTTTCTTCCCCAAGTCCGTGGTGCGTGTCCCAGGGGTCCGAGGTCCTGGAGAGGCCTGGGACAGAAAGCAGCACTGTCCACTGGGAAGGACACTCCAGGAGGGCAGAGCAGGGCAGCCAGAGCCAATCGATTTCTGCAGAAGAGTGACTGGAGCCCGGTCGTGCCTCTGGTTAATTTCTCTTCTAATAGAAGTAATTCATAGTCAAATAAAATACCATTATGACCTTGAAATTTTCCAGGAAAATAAACTTCCTGCTATTTCACATTATTTTTCCACTCTTTGTTTTGTGGATGGTTAGAAAGCCAAGCTTGTTATGAGGAGGCAGAGCTGGGGTGTGGAGTGAGCAGGTCTTCCCTCCAGTGTGCAGGAGCATGTGTTCAAACTGTGTTTTTTAATGGGCCTTTTCATTTGTAAATGAACTGGGTAACAGCACAATCGTGGCAGCTAATGTAACGCTATTGCAGTACATTATTGGAGGTTCAGGCCTCCTTGTGACCCGCCACCGCACAAACGCTGCATCTCTGCATTAGGGTCTGTGCTGAAAGCGTGCCCGTCGAGACGGCGTTTCGTTTGCATTTTGTGTGTGGTGCCATTGTTCCTGTACTTCTTGGCATCGTTAAAATTCAAAGGGGAGTATATTTGCAAAGCAAACTGGTCTGCATTCTAATAAAATGTAATTTCCCACCACCAGAGGAAGGCTGTGGACCTCAGGACAATGTAACCACATTCTAGCAGCCCTTGGTCCCTGGCCCCCGCAGGAGCCTCAGGGAGCTGCGGTGCTGTGCGGGGACCTGCTGAGTCCCCGTGGCCACCCCGTCTAAGGCCGTGCTGTTCTCTCTGCAGGGACAGTGGCACGGCGATGTCTTCAGTGGACTGGGCAGCCTGGCCCACAGTTCAGGGGTCGTCTACTGCGGGCTGTGGATCAATGGCCACCCAGTGGGTAGGTGTCCCTGGCCTACCTGTGGACCTTTTGAGGTCCATTGTAGGGGTCATGTCTCTCTCAGGTGGCCCTGACCTCGGGCAGTAACATGGGAGGTGTTGGACCAGGAGCATGTCAGGGAGGGGCTGGGATGAAGCAGAATCTAAAGTCCTATGCCCTTTCAGAAAAAATGTGTCCTAATTTAATCTCAGAAGGGCTTCTGAACATGCAGAGGTCCTGAGGCAGACCTTGGATTCAAGTGTTCCTGCTGTGGACAGGGTCCCAGCCACAGGACCTCCCAACCATGGGGACATCCCAGCCGTGGGGGTCTCCCAGCGACAGGGGCCTTCCAGCCACAGGAACATCCCAGCCATGGGGACATCCCAGCCACAGAGTCCTCCCAGCCATGGGGGCCTGAACATCTGGGTAGCCTGGTCATGGCTGCACTGCCCCCCAAGTGGCCTCCATCTGGCTCCCCCAAGCTCTCTACACTGTGACATGACCACGGTGGCCTGTGGTTCAAGTTCCCTGAAATCCTTAGCCTCTTCCCAGCATTTGCTTTTAAAGCCCCTCTGCTGTGCTTTGCCATAGTTCACTGGATATGGGGGAGTTGGGGGCAGTGGGACACTGTGTAGAAATGCCATCTCCAGCTGCCCAGACCACAGCAACGCCCCACAGGTCCTAGTGGACAGGGCGGCCTTGACCACCCTTGCCAGACCCACTCCCAGCAGCCCCGCATCCAGCAGGGCACTGACTCAGATGCAGGGAGTGCGGGCCCTGAGTCCCATCGGTGGAAGACGTGCCAGAACATTCCATGTGCATACAAACCTGAGGACTGCTGTGCTGCTCACTGCACTTCAACACTCGGTGGACCTTTGTGTCTATGTCATACAATCAATCCAGTTCTGAGATAGATTGTTCTAAATTATTACAGCTGGCCTTCCCGACAGGGGTGATGATCTGTTTTAATTATTGCCCAGACACTTCTCCAAACGGTGGCTCGTATGGAGATTTGAGCCTTTCCAGGCATGTGCTTTGCTGGCAACTGTCACACCAAGCCCCTTCCTCTGTGCTGCACTGGGAAGGCCCACAGCTCTGGGGGTGTCCCTCAGGAGCCCCTCCAATCAGGCAGGAGAGGACGATGCCTGGGCTCTTGCTTCTGGTGCAAGCCGTGGCATGGCCATCCCAACCACCACCTAAAGCCGTGCTCTGCTCTCTTCCAGCGCGAGCCACGAGGATGGTGATTTTAGGTCCTGAGGTAATGGAAGTGGTGCAAGGATCTGCCTTCACGGTGAACGTTCAGCTATGGCAGGACAATGGGGAAGTTGCCATCGGTAAGCTTCTCCGGGACAACGACCTAACTTTCCCAACAGATAAACAGGCATCGGGTCTATCCTGCAGGGACGGTGCAGAAAGGGGCTGGGGTGGCCCCTGATGCACAGAGGTGACTCTGCCTAAGTCCCTGCTGCCAGAGCTTTGTGGAAGGGGCAGTGGTCAGACAAGCCCTCCAAGGGCCGGCCCGTGGCTCACTCGGGAGAGTGTGGTGCTGATAACACCAAGGCCACGGGTTTGGATCCTATATCGGGATGGCCGGTTGGCTCACTGGGTGAGCGTGGTGCTGACAACACCAAGCCAAGGGTTGAGATCCCCTTACCGGTCATCTTTAAAATAAAAAAAAGCCCTCCAGCTGGTGGGGGCAACTGTGTGTGCATGTGCATGTGCACGTGTGTGTGTGTGTGTGTGTGTGTGTGCGTGTGATCCAAGGGCGTGTGTGTGTGATGTGTGTGCGTGTGTGGAGTGCATGTGCAGGCCCTGCCTCACCTGCGGTCAGCTCGTCATGCAGAATGCGGAGGATGGTGAGACGCTGTGGGCCTGGCTGAGCAGGTCAGGGCAGGGCAGTGGCTGAGCTGGGAAAGGGGAGGGCTTCTCATTGTCCTTTTTGGGGTCATCAAGGAAGGACAGATTTACAGTTTCCCTTTTAGGTAACCTAATCCCCCTGCCACAATGCAGAAGGAGGTACCAGCTGACATCCCAAAGCCCTTCCCATCCCATGAGCTGGACTGTGCAGAGGTCCCAGTCAAGGCAGGGAGCGTGCCCAAGACACTGAGTACACAGCAGTTCACTGAGTGCACCTGCTTTAATGAGGAGCCGTGATGTGTGGCCTCTGTCACATGTATCTAGTCACAATGAGCTTACTTTAACAACGTGATCGAGGCATCATTTACATACCATAAAATTAATCTGTAGGAAGTAATTCAATGATTTTGAACAAGGGTATAGATGTGGGCAGCCAACACGCACTGCGGTTGCCTTTTGGACACTTCTGTCACCCCAGAAAGACCCCTGGCAGCTACCCGCTCGCTTTCTGTCTGTCCATTTGCCTTTTCTGGGCATTCCATGTACACGTAGGGATGCAGCGGGGGTCTTTCGCTCTCTTCTCCCACCTGCGTCCTGTTTCTGAGGCCCGTCCCTGCTGCGGCGTGTGCCGGGGAATGCTGTTCCGGTGTTGTGACAGGCCGCATCCTCTCCCCTGTTCATCAGCTGATGGGCATTTGAGAGGCTTGCACTTGGGGCTACTATGAGGAGTGCCAGTGAGCATTTGTGCAAGTGATTTTGTGAACATGTTTTCATTTCTCCTGGGTATGTACCTATGAGCGGAGTTACCGGATCATAGGATAGACTCATGTTTAAACTTTTAAAGAAACTGCCAAACTGTTTTCCGAAATGGCTGCAGCATTTTGCCGTCCACTAGCGGTGTGCGAGGCTGTTCCCCACGTGCTTCTCCGTCCTGTGGGTGGGAGCCATCGTGTGGGTGTGAAGTGGTGTCTCCTTGTGGTTTCGACTCACGTTTCCCTAATGATTAGTGATGCTGAGCAGCTTTTCGTGTGCCTACTGGTTATCTGTATATCTTCTTTGGAGAAATGTCTGTTCAAATATTTTACCCATTTTTTAAAAATTGGGTTGTTTGTCTTTTTTTTATGAGTGCTTTATGTATTCTGGATACAAGTCCTTTATCAGATATATCTTTGGAAATGTTTTCTTTCAGTCTGTAGTTTTTTTATTTTCTCAATGCTATCTTTTTTGTTTGTTTGTTTGACCGGTAAGGGGATCATAACCCATGGCTCGGTGCTGTCTGCACCACGCTCAGCCAGTGAGCGCACCGGCCATCCCCATATAGGATCCGAACCCGCGGCCTCAGCGCTACCAGCGCTGCACTCTCCCGAGTGAGCCACGGGACTGGCCCGTCAATGCTGTCTTTTGAATAGCAAAAGTTTTTAATTTTGATGAAGTCTTCTTTTATGGGTCATGGTTTTGGTACTGTATCTAAGAATTCTTTGCCTAACCCAAGTTCACAAAGATTTTCTCCTATTTTCTTCTAGAAGTTTTATAGTTTTAGCTCTTACAGTTAGAGCTGTGATCCATTTGGGGTCAATTTTTATGGATAAGATAAAGATCTAAATTCACCTTTTATGCATGTGGATGTCCAGTTCTCCCAGCACTGTTGAAAAGACTGTCCTTCCCCATCAAATTGCCTGGGCAAGTTGGTCGAAAGTCAGTTAACCATAAGGGTGAGGATTTATGTCTGGACTGTCACTTCTGGTTTTTTTTATCGTAACCCTCGGCACGGTGTTGTCAGCACCACGCTCAGCCCATGAGCACACCGGCCATCCCTGTATAGGATCCAAACCTGTGGCCTCAGCACTACCAGCGCCACACTCTCCCGAGTGAGCCACGGGGCCGGCCCTGGACTGTCACTTCTATTCCATTGATTGATGTGTCTGACCTCATATGTCTATGCCAGAACCACATTGTCTTGATTAGTGTAGCTGTTAGTACATTCTGAAATTGGAGAGTCCTCCAATTTTGTTCTTCTTCAAAATCGTTTTGGCTATTCTGGGACCTTTGCATTCCCATATACACTTTAGGACCAGCATGTCCATTTCTGTAACAGCAATAACAAAGCCTGTTGGGGTTTTGATGGGGGTTGCGCTGGATCCCTGGGGAGAACTGCCGTCTTCACGCTGTCTGCCAGTTCATGAACACAAAACCGTCACTCCGTTTATGTAGATCTTCACTTTCTCTCACCAGTGTTTCATTATTTTCGGGATACAAGTCTTGCACATATTTGTTAAGTCTATTAATAATAATTAATAATTCATTAGATATTTAATTATAATTTTTATTAAATATAATTGTCACTAATTATGGATAAGTTTATTTGTTATATTCCTTTTATACTATTGTGAATGGAATTTTCCTAACTTCATTTCAGAAACTTCTAGACTACAATCGATTTTTACATATCGATCTTATATCCTCTCACTCTGCTGAACTCCACATTTATCAGTTCTGCTAGTTCTTCTGAGGATTCCTTAGGATTCTCTATAGACAGGATCATGTTGTATGTAAATAAGCACAGTTTTACTTCTTCTTGTTCAGTCTGAATGTGTTTTCTTTCCTGCTCTCAGTCACACTGTTTCACATCACCACCAGCATGAACGGAGGCTCCAGTCGCTCCACGTCCTCGTCAGCTCTTGTTATTATCTGTCCTTCCGATGTAGCCATCTCTGGGGATGTGAAGTGGTGTCTTATTGTGGCTTTGATTTGCAAGGCTAATGATGTGGAACACCTTTTCATGTGCTCATTGGCCATTTGTGTATCTTTCTTGTAGAAACATCTATTCAGATGCTTTGGCTTTTTAAAAATTGGATTACTTAGGGCCGGCCTGGTGGCGCACTGCTACAGTGCGCTGCTTGAGAGCACGGCAGCGCTCCCGCCGAGGGTTCGGATCCCATGTACAGACCGGCCGCTCAGTGAGTGAGGTGCGGGCGCAGCACCGAGGGTTGCGATCCCATTGCCGGTCACGAAAAAAGACAAAAAGGGAAAGAAAAAAAAAATTGGATTACTTATCTTTTTATTATGACTTATTAAGAGTTATTTATATATTCTGATGACAAATCTCTTAGAAATCAGATTTGCAAATATCTTCTCACATTTTGTGGCCTGTCTTACAGTCTCTTGATGGTGTCTATTGAAACACAGGTTTTATATTTTGCTGTAGCCCAATTTGTCTGTTTTTCAATTTGCTACTTTGGGTGTCATATCTAAGAAGACTTTGCCTATCCCAGGGTCATGAGGATTTCTTTTTATGTTTTCTTTTAAGAATTTTATTTTGTTGGCTATTATGTTTAGGGCCATGATCCATTTGGAGTTCATCTTTGTGCATGGTGTGAGGTAGGGGTCTGGCTATGTTCTTTGCATGTGGATCCAGTTGTCCCCATACCATTTGTTAAAAAGACTGTTCTGGGGCCGGCCCGGTGGCGCACTGCTACAGTGCGCCGCTTGGGAGCGCGGTGGCGCTCCCACCGAGGGTTCGGATCCCACATACAGACCGGTTCCCACTCACTGGCTGAGCAAGGTGTGGGCACAGCACCGAGGGTTGTGATCCCATTGCCGGTCCCGGTCCGGTACAGGCGCGACACTGAGGGTTGCGATCCGTTGCCGGACACGAAAAAAGACAAAAAGGGAAAAAAAAGACTGTTCTTTCCCTGGTGAATTATCTTGGCTTCTATTCACTAAAATTTTGTGTAGAATTTCTGCATCTCCGTTCAGCAGGATATTGGTCTCAAACTTCTTTTCTTATAAGGTCTTTGTCTGATTTTGGTATCAAGGTAATGCTGACCTTATAGAATGAGTTGGAAAAAATTCTCCTGTTTTCAATTTTCTGGAAAATTTTGTGTTGAATTGGTATTATTTTTTCTCTTAAATGTTTCATAGAATTCAATACAAAGCTTATCTGGACCTGGAGTTTTCTTTGCAGGAAGATTTTTACTAGTAAGCCAATTTCTTTAATAGTTATAGGGCTATTTAGGTTATCTATTTCTTTTTGAGTGAGCTTTAGTATTTTGTATCTCTCAAGGAATACTTGTTCATTTTATCTAAGTTGTTTAATTTTTTGGCATAAGTTTGTTCCTAATATTCCCTTATCCTCCCGTTAATGATATCACCTCTCTTGTTCCTAATATGTATTGTTGATGTCTTCTTTCTCTTTTTCCTGACGAGTCTGGCTGGAGGTTATCAATTGCACTGAAAAACAACCAGCTTTTAGTATCATTGATTTCTAACTGTTTTTCTATTTTGTATTTTAATTTCTATTTTGCTCTTATTATTTCCCTGCTTCTGTTTACTTTAGATTTAATTTGCTCTCCTTTTTCTAATTACTTAAGGTGGAACGTACGGTTATTTATTTTATAATATTGAAGTTTATTGCTATAAATTTTCTCCTAAGTACTGCTTTAGCTGCATCCTGCAAATTTTGATATGTTGTGTTTTC